AGCCCCCCTTTCTCCAAAATCTTCCTACGCTACTGTCTTGCCCTTACTGGTTAAGTAGTTCTGTTTGTACATGTACATGTACTTTAGGGTGTGGCAATTTGGCAAAAGGGCAGATCAAGCCCTGGCCTTATTTTTATTTTCTTCTAGTAATTATGCATTTTACTAATAGTGGCTTAATTTTGTAGGAATGTTCACTTGGAATAAAATTCTCAAGCTTGAATAGATGTACAGTAGGTTAAAAATTAATTGTAACAAATAATTGATGACAGCCATCAAAATATTTCATGTAAATCAACTAATACATTACATAATTATTACATGTAGTTGGTATTACAAATTATTATTATAATCATATCTATGTTATGATAGGACTTACCTCTGAGTGCAATGAATAAAATTTGTTATCAAAAATGACGTGAGTGATGAGTCACGTGATGAGTTAGTAGATAGTAAATGCTGACTTAGGGTTAGCTAGGGAAAATGGATGACTTTCAAAGGTAAGATTTAGATGCTTTCTGTGTATTGTTTAATCATAAAGCCTGAAGTCCCTGGACTAATGATGGTTTCTCTTATCATGTAGGCTAGTAATTCTAGATGAAACAAGAGATAACACATGTAAAATCAATGTCACTATCTTTAACCCCGCCCACTTCAAATTTTGTGTGTCTCTCTCCCTTCCTCTCTCTCCTTTCCTCTCTCCCTTCGTTTCTCCATCTCCCTCCAAACCTCCCACTATCCCTCCCTTCTCACTTTAGTTGCCTTTAATGGACATCCAGAAATTGGCTATAATATAAATGAAAACTTAGAGGATGATGACGGGCATTCAGCTACAAATGGTAAGCCAGTTGCAATAATTCAATGTTTATTTGCTTTTCAAATATACATTCAAGAAGAGGATGATGACAATTATGTTGGAGAGAGTTCTATTGATGATTTGCCCCCAAAAGATTTGGGAGTTCCAAGTGTAGTTGTAATGGGATCACTAACACTATCAATGGAGTGTTTCTTTCAATCAAGGCAAATTCAGTTTGAAGTCTGTGGTGAAGAGGAACGAAACTTTTCAAATAATCTGATACACAGAAAAGTACCCGAGCCTTATCAAACTCTCATTACTGCAGAAATGGAAGGAATGAAGAAAGATTGTGGCAATGATGACGAATCATACCTAACAAAAGAAATCGAAGATAAAACATGTCACGGGAAAGGCATGTGGGTAATAGGAAAGCTGAAGTTTTGTCTACTTGATGATCCATACAGTAAACTAACACCAGGCTAAAGCATATTAACAATTTTAAACTGCTGCTATCTTAACAATTTTAATGATTTGATAAAACTGCTGCTATTTCTTTGTGATACATGTGCATTGAGAATGTGTTTCTAAAATAAAAATTCTGAGTACAGGAAACAATAAAACTAGCTAGCTGCTTTCTTGTTAATGTAAAGTGAACATCCTTTATATGCATGTACACACATGTACATGTACAACAGGTACAGTATAGAGGTAAAAGTGTAAAAAATATTCCTATAAATGCTTTTACCACCTTAAATGTACAACTGGGTTTATATTAAGACCTATAAAGGTCATTTCTACCTTCTAATGTTTCTAGAGAAGTCTTTAGACAGTATCTCTATCTTCTTTTGCTGTTAGAAAGCTCATAGTCTCGCCCCGCCCCTCATAACTTTGTCCCATGTGTAAGCCGCCATTTTGTTTGGTGTAACTACACCCACTACGTAAAGGGCGTGGGCGGGTTCGGGTGGGCTTTGGCAGATTCATAGATATTAGAGTACAAATTGTACTCTAATATCTATGGCAGATTATGCCAGCATAATTTTGAGCATAATATGACCAAAAAGCATAAGCATAATAGGGCTATAAAAGAAAATTATAAAAAATGAATTGAAAAATCCAATAAAAACAGGCCCTTGCACTGACTTAATTTATGTTTAAAAAACTACTATTGCTCACAAAACTCAAAAACTATACATTGTACATAGGTAAATCAATTATGGGAATGACCTGGGGGCGAAGCCCTCAGGCCGTAAAAACATTAATTTTATCACTACAGGCAGCATAAGGTCATCAATGTATCGGAAAACTGAATTAATTATACTTAATGGGTTATCACATTTATGCATTATAAGTATTATGTCAATACATGTGTATAATTATGTGCATTACATATAGGCTAATAATATTATAATATTCATCTGTACATGAACATACATAATACATGTACGTTATATTTATTCTTGATAGGCCAGGTAAATTTTCTAAAATTAATAGTAAAATAGGAAGAGGCTATAGACCAGTTGGCGCTAAGTATATTCATAGAATTTTGAGTATATTCATTGTGATACCGTAAATAAAGTAAAATTTTCCTACCGCCATTTTGGAGTCTTAGTTTACTAAGAGTAGAATGGGAGAAAGTAATATCTTTGCTTCTATATCTTCTAGTGGCACTTATTAAAGTCCATGAGCCATCTCTAGACACTGGATGATGGTCAGTAAGCAGTAGCAATATTGCTGTAACGAATAAATACAGCAGTTTTTGGAGAATAAGCTCTTTTCACGATCACTCCATAGACAACCATTGGAAGTAGGACTCCAAAATGGTGGAAGGAAAATTTTACTTTTTACGACATCACAATGAATATACTTAAAATTCTATGAATATACTTAGCACCAACTGGTCTATAGGAGAGACAATCAGACAAATGTTAAATTTATTTTGCATGCAGATTTTATGGAGCAGAAAACATATCTTCTACACAAAGTAGTTGTACATATATATTCTCATGTGCCTAAATGTATTAGTTATAGCACACTGTAAAGAGTGCTGTATGGCACAAGGGATGGATTCAAGACAGCAATATAGCACGAGGCACACACTCTTTACTGTAATATAATGAATTGGTGGAATTGTGGTATATACATCTATGCCTACATAAGTACATGTAACTTCATAATTGTCATAATAGTCTCTAATATTAATAATACCAAGAGTAGATCCAATACTAATAGATACATGTACAATACATAATGGCCAAGAAATGAAATACATGCAGGTACAACATACATATATGTGCATTGGCATTCAACATTACAGTAGGTCCTATAGAGTTATACTTATACAAGAGTTACAATGTATGTGCATGTAAATGCACATGTACATGCATAACTATGAGGTATATGACATGAAAGTGTCACTAAAAGCAATTAAACCACACCAAATATGCAATTCCTCTTTATGTGTACACCTGTATAGTATTAGTATAGTATATATTGTGTGGGAGTCTTTGAGAGCTGTTTATACTGTACCAAAGGATAATGAAAGCATGTTTATACAGGGTTTCCCCATAGAATTTTGGCATGCAGCTTCTGGTCAGTACATTGTTAGGTTGCTCAAAAATTGGGCCAAAGGGAATTTTGAAAAAAATCATAAGGAGAAAATTCTTCATTTTTAATAATGTTTTTTGATGCACATAGATGTCTTTATGTTGTGTATTAGCTTTGAGCTGATTCTGATCAAATTTGAATTTTCTATAATTTATAAAGATACATAAAATCAGGCCAAGTAAAATTTCCCGCATTTTGCAAAAGAGAAATCTTCATAGTTAAAATTTTATCTGATACACATATTAGTGTAAAGTTTGAGCTACCGGATCAAAATTGGATTTTTACAAATTTTAAAAGTTGCTCAAAACCAAAGGCTGTGTTTTTGACCAAATTTTGTTAAAAATATATGTAGCTATAGGAGAGAATTCTCCATTTTAAAACTTAATCTGATATAAAGACATGTACATGTACCTTATGTTGTGGAAATTCTGCCAATCAAAATTGGTTTTTAATAAAATTAATTTTAAAAGTTGCTCAAAAACTGGGCCAACAACCAAGGCTATAGTTTTTGGCCAAAGGCCAAATTTTGTCAAAAGTGGCTATGAGAAAATTCTCCATTTTTATAATTTTTTAATACATATACATGTACCTCAATGTCACCATAAAAAACAGGTTATAAATTTGCAATTTTAGAGATTTGCCCAGAAGCTAATACTATTAACAAGGCTCTTGCTATTAATATTAGTTAAATAATTAACTAAATATATGAATAATTAATTGAGTGCTCTAGTAGCTGGAGAAAGCTAGATATGCCTATGACAATGGAACCAAAAACCAAAAGCTATAGCTGTTGGTCTTTGGCCAAATTTCATTAAAAATTGCTAGCAAGAATTTTCCATGTTTATAATGTTGGTATAAAAAGTGTGAGCTGGATTTTGTAATGAATTTAAAGTTGGTAAAATATTGGTTTAGGATTTTTAGGCTAAGAAATAATTCTCCAATTTTTAAAATTACTGAATACCTTTGCACTATACATTATTCAAATTTCAGAATGTTGTTACAGAGTGTAACTCACCCTTTAAGACACTCCTTTGTTTCAACAGTTGTGTAAACTTCCAACAAACTCAATGCTTGTCAACAACAAAATGACTGCTGGGATACAGCAAGAAAATCTTCTCAATGCTACAATGGATGATTAGTAGGTCACACACAAATATCTCCAGAAGAATGACTAGTCAAAATCACAATCATGGGTTACTTGTCTAGTGTTCAGTAATAATGGCTATTTGCTATATTGTCAGTCATCATCACATTATAAAACCATTAACCTAGAGAAGAGACAAAAACAGAAATAATCAAGGGCACATGGACAAGTACAAGCTAAAATAAGCTATATGAATAATGCATACAACATGCAGTGATACATTAATCTAAGCTTCTGTAAGCTGTTTACTACAATACAATAAAAAATAAACAGCCGCATATCTCTGATTAATCTATCCAATATGTTTCTTATAAATCCATACCTACATTGTAACAGAAAAGGATTCATTTCCCTAGCCTATACACAAAGGTGCTCCATATACTTAAGCACCACCTCCTTAAATTAAAGGAAGCTCAGGAAGTTCAGGCACATGGAGAAACAAGAGCCAGTTCAAAGTGGTAAACTTATAGGAAAAGTTCAGAAAGAACCAAACAATCAACAAGCCAGTACTAGTATTGCTGCTCTTACAGGCACAACAAGACTTAAAGAAGCACAAGACATTCCTATGCCCCAATTTCCAGCTAGCATTGAAGGCAAAGAAACTAGCCTGATCTACCTCACAGTTCCTTTGCAGGAAAGTTACGCAAGCAATGATAAAAGCAAGTGGATTCTTCCAAAATATCATTATGCCTCAAATACAATAAGCAATGAGACAATGAATCAAGATATCAACTACCTGGCAGACAGCACTCACAGCAGTCCAAAGTTAAACAAATTTATGCCACAAAGGTACAAAAATTAGAAGACATTACACCTAACATTGTAATCCATTAGACTATTAAACAATATTCAATTTGTGTTTGTAATCATCTACCAATTATTGTATGTATATACACAATTTACATCATTTCTGTACCAGCTTCCAAAACTGATTTTAATAATTTCTTCAAAAATACAATAGGCATTAATTGGCAATTTTGTAAGCATGTGTCCAATAAATGTGAAGCTCTCCTCGAATCACCGATTGCAGGATTAATTCTTCAATTAGAAGCACTCAGTAATACAGGCGTATGGATATGTCCTTAACAGGTATAGAATGTCAGCTTGCAGCATCATACATTGAATATCAAATTTCAAAGCAAATAAAAAACAAAGGAAATCAGCTGATTGCATTTTATAAACTGTAAACGTATACCGGTACATAGCTGAAACAAAAGATTAGCTATAATCACATAAATTTACATATTAATATAACAAATTATAGTTACTAAACCATAGGAATGCAACACTAATTTATGCACAACGCACAATGATCCTTCCTAAACTCCTCCCATTCTTTTATTTCTTTTTTGCTTGCTCATGGTGACAGTCCTCACTCAGGTAAAGAGACTAAAACTGAAAGCCTGAAAAAGTTAGATCATATACCCATTGGAGTACATCATTGCCACATGTTGCCTCAAGCCTTCAACTGCCCTTTAAACTCATTCTTGTGTTTCTTTTTATTAATACTGTACATACGTGTATCACACATCAGACACACCCCAAACACAATCATAAAAGGTATTTCCCCTCTCTTTCTCTCTCTCTCTCTCTCTCTCCATAGAAACTGGTATGGAAGCTCTACTGGCAGTGCTAATAGTCGTGGCTATAATGGTCCTCCTAATAATAGCTATTGGACTCATTGTTTTGATATACATCGTTGTGGATATGTATAAGCGTTCTAAAAATACCTCGACAACTGATTATATTCTTAGAAACCAAGTGCCAGCTGACTCTATTAAGCAACTGACCAAAACTGTCATTGATAATGTCAACACAACCTTAAAGTGTGGAATAGAGTCTCAGAAAGGTACTCCATTACTTCCCTCCTGTTATCAGACACAACCTAAACTGGCTCATTATGAGTATGACAATGACGACAGTGGAACCGATGACGGATTGTTTGATGATGAAGGATCAAATAGTACTCTAACCACTACTGTGTCTAATTTTGATGAAGTGGTGTCTAATAATATTAAGCCAACAGATAAAAATACCTCCCTTCAAAACGATAATGATCTCGATATAATGAAAGCTGATAAAACTTTGGACCAGTCTTTAAAAGGAATCTCGTCTCGCAAAAATGAGATAACTCATGAAAATGATACTCAAGTATTAAAACCTAGTACCAGAAAGAAGAAAGATCACAGAAGCAGAGCCATACCTCCATCAGTTGCTCCATACCCTTCGTCTTCCTTATTCCCGCCTCCTTCAACCAGTAGTGATGAGGAGGGAGATGAGCCTGATGGAAAATTTAAAGCAAAAAAGAGAAAAAAGACGAAATCTGAGCCAAAGTTTCTTCCAAGTGCCCCACATATTAAGATTCCACCAGTTGATGATGTACCCTACACGTATCAGTCACTACCAAATAAACTCCATCCACAGTACACTCTCCACAGTAAAGGTAATCCTAAGGGATTGGTTTCAGACAAGCCTAAAGTTAAACTGGCTAGTAGACACACTGGCATCACTCCTCCTTCTCTTCCGCAGTCACTCAATGAGACACGGCCAATCCTGCAAATACCTCCTCAGTGTAGCTTTCCACCAATGATAGTTATTTCAGCTCAACAAGACTCATCCAGTGGTACAGGGCCTTCAGCTCAACAAGACTCATCCAGTGGTACAGGGCCTTCAGCTCAACAAGATTCATCCAGTGGTACAGGGCCTTCAGCTCAACAAGACTCATCCAGTGGTACAGGGCCTTCAGCTCAACAAGACTCGTCCAGTGGTACAGGGCCTTCTTCCCCATTTACAGCTCAGTGTACTGACCCAACCGCTACTAATAATTGTACTCAAGTTATGTTGCCCCCTCCTCTACATGCCATGCCCCTGTCTGGAAATGAAACATACATGTACATGTACATATATCAATCTCTCCTTCATCGTGCCTGTCCCCTTCCATCTCTTGCACTAGCAGAGTCGGTTGTGAGACGAAATGAAGCTGCCAGTATTGATAATGATAATAATGAGCAAAGGGAGTTGGATCTGGTCAAGTTTGTACCAAACGGGATTACACGAGAAACAATTAAAGACGAGAGTAGCAGTGATCTTCCATCCAATTTCCCATTACCAGAGTTATTGCAGTCATGTGTTCCTGTTCAATCTACATGTAGCAGCGTGTGTCAATCCACTGACAGTACAGCATGGGAAGCACAACAGCCGATAGCTACATCTAATCTGGAACCTCAACCTCCAACAGCTGAATTCATCATTGCTCCACTAACACTTGGTGTCCTTGGAGAACTGGAGGATGAAGAGGAGCTGGTGGTACCCCCACAGCATGATCCTGTTCAAGAGCCTCCAGCCACTGCTGCTTCTGACTCTGGTGATGACTGCTAATTAATTGTGTGACATTATAAGAGTTAGTTACCAGTACCCACAAATTAACTTAAAGTTTAGCTAGTTTAGGCCATTGTTTAATTATTTAAGCTTGCTGGTGTGTGTTTACATGTACATTAGTTATTTTCTACGTTTTTTTTGTCACCTCTCCCTAAATGTCATTATCTATAAAGTGTGATTTCTGTCCCTTAATTTAATATTAGCGATTAAAAATTACTTTATAATAGCTCAATGTAGCAATATGGTAAGCCAAAATAATACAAGATACTGAGGAGAGGTTAAAACAAATGTTATGTAAATTCATGATGCCATATTAATTAAGTTACTAGTTGCCACAGTCATACTAATCATAAGCTCCAATACATGCATGCACAAACAAGATAACTTTAAAACTCACCTTTATACATGTAGTTTATGACATCAAATACTTAGTCCATTAAATTAATACATTATCTTACTACCTTGTCTGCTCTCTCTTGTATGACTCTAAAAAAATTAAAACATCTATGAATTCATTATAATAGTGTACAGAAAGTACATGTATGTGTACATGTACATGCATGATAATATAAAAACATGCTGAAACACAAACAGTTGCTCTAGATGTTAAAGTGCTCCTCCTATTAATTAGAAGGGAGGGCTCTGTGGCTAAGTATAATAGAAAATCAATACAAGAAGCAATAGTAAAACAATGTAATTCATTTATGACATGCATTGAATCCATTTATTCTAAAATGGCCACTCCCTTGCTAAACAATGGAGACAGAGAAAAACAAACAAGTGAGAGAAGTGATCAAATAGAGCTACCCCCATCTATTGACATGACACTAAGCAGCAATAAACCCACGGAGGAAACTAATGGACAAAAGGACAATACTGCACGCCATATACAAGTAGGTTTGATTAATCCAGGTCCTGAAATTGGTTCATGGGAACATTATAAAAGGAATCCATTGGATTACTTTAATAAATCCTTTCATCATGTTTTGAAAAAAGAAGCTAATGCTCCACCAGGAATAAATTGCTATCATAGCTATGAGACTACTCAAGAAAATGCTACAACACAGCCAAAACTACCACTACAGCTAGATTCAAAAAACTCTAGCCATAAAACATATGTATACCGTTCTTTTCTCACAACTTATAAAAAAAAGAACTATTTCAAGTTCTAAACTTATTCACGTGTATACTAAAATAAAAAATAAAGATCAAATATGTACATGTAGGCCCGATATTGTTGATTTGACACAGGAATAATATTTAGTTCTATTCTAAAAGCTTACTAAAGATTGGTATAGGAGCCTGATTGGTTTTCTGTATGCATATAAAATGCTGTGTTTTTTTTAATTATAATAATTATGCTGTTAATTTATGTAATTAATTATCTACATTATATATTTGACACAATGACAACAGATTTACAATTAACTCACTATATACTAGCACCCACACATGCATATAATAATGAAAGTTACACCCTAGACAACGCCCATTCCACACAAAAATGGCTGTGAATAAGCTTGTAAAAGAAAAACAGTCTCAAAAACTTGTTACAATACTAACTGACACTCATGAGGAAACCGCTGGTGCAGGAATTGCTGATAGCACCAAAAGAGATGAACCTTGTACTGAAACCAAACCAGAAGCGGCCATTGGTATTGGAGACCACGATCCAATAACTTATTACCACCAAAAAGATACTCTTCCTTGTGAAACACTAGATGCGTGTACCCCACAAGAGGTGTCTGCTTCAAGGGAAACCAGCCAAGAAAGAAACGAAAACAAAGAAGCCAGTCCAGGATATTTAATAGACTCAAACGAGACTGCCGATGTTAATTTGCTAGCCAATATGGAGATCGAGATTGGATGTTCAATGCTATTCCAAGAAGCAAGGACAGTGCACTCTCCAAAAGAACCAGACTGTGAATATTATGGATATACCTGCTCATAGTCAAGACAACTAGATGTACATGTATATACTAAAAGGACCAAGGTTGACATAAGGTCACCTTTCCTTCCCTCCTTACTCCCTCCTTATACCAGCATTTCTCAAGCAGAATGAAGATAAACCAAATGTACTTAACAAGCACTCATACTGTATTTGCACACACAAACACATGCATAACAGTGTACATGTAAATATATTAAGCTGAAGTATGATGTAGATGATAATAATTAATTAAAGTTATCAATTAATTAAAGTTATCAATTAATTAAATTTATCAATTGATCACATGATCAACACAGTCACATGGTCAACATGTGCTGGATTACATCATGCTTTAAAAAGTCAGGCCATTGTAACAGAAGCAAAAAATCTGATTGCACGTGTGTCATGTCATGAATATTGACTCACCTCAAATAGAAGTTATTTTTTCATGAATACAAGGCAATAACTAACATAGTGCTTCTGTTATACTAAATAAAAAAACAACAATAAAAAGGTCAGAAAACTAGCAACATAAAAATATAAAATGCATACACATGTACATTGTTAGGTTGTCATACTAATACAAGATTGCATAAAACCTACAGGGCATTACTAATGCAGTGTTTCATCAAATAAAAGTTTCAAGTATATATATCTACATATATAGGCCTTGAATAAATTTCTTCCCACATGAAGATGCTCTGCAGCAAGGTTAAGTCCAACATTAAACTCAGTATTTACCCCAAGTACAAACTTGTATAGTCTTGTAGTCTAAACTTCCTGTGGAAACTGCTATTAATTGCAACTAGCTGATATGAGAGAAACACAACAGTTTGCTCAGTGAGTGATGCACTGCTAGTACTCTTGGCAATAACTCTCTGAAGGTCAATTTTCTCCATAGAATATGCTTAAAAGCATCATTTAATAATGAGCAAAATTCTTCTAACATCTTCTATAAGATATTGTATACACTGTCAAAAGACAAGTAAAGAAACTCAAGAAAAATGCTGACAAGTGACAGGATATGACACAATATTATAATAATAGCTGAGAAAATTTACTGCAGTGTGTATTTTCATGAGTTTGTGCTTTGGATAAATTAATCAGACACATAAAAACATAAATTTATACAGCTGATAGCATAATTGCTTTTATCAATTTGATGAAAACCATACATTATTCATTGAAAAGCACTAACATGCACTGCATACATGTACACTTCAGTATGGAGTTCTTTTTGACTGAAATCGACACTACATGCAAGCAACAAACCAAGCATGTTTAACACGGCACCTTAATAAGAGGCCATGCAGCTTAGGACAATTGAACTAAATGTTACAATATTGTGTAGCATATGATCAGTTTAGACTGTTTAGCAAATTAGCAACAAATTCAACACATGACAAATTAACAAAAAATGAAATATATAAATTCATAACAGCAATTACATGTACATCAAAATGTAGCAAACCATCTGATAAAATATCGTTGGCAGTTAGACATGCACAACTAAAAAAAATAAACCAGGTTTATTAGATCTACATCTACATTACATCATTTTTTCTGATTTAGCATTAGTTAGCAAGTGTGCAAGTATGAATCTCATTTACATGTATCTCTCTGGATTTCTGTATAAAATTGCTATAGAACTTTCCCGCAATGAATATTCATGAGAATTTATGAGTCATCAACGCATCATTATGATGAAAACCATCCCTACTAGTGGGACAGAAAAGTGAATCTTGCACCTAAATTGACTGGTTTTTCAGCTGCTCTTAGTATTTTTCCATATTTTAATGGTTAATAACTGTTGTATTGTTAGATACTATAATTCTGATGAAAAAACCAGCAGTTAAGACTCTTAAGCTCTACTTTCAAAGGGAGGCTAGTCCTGAAAAGGTGGATCAAGGCTGCAAATCCTGTCAAATGGAATCTAGGCCTAAGCACACATCCTAAAGGTTCAGATATTTGAGCTTCTCAGGTTAAATCTCAGCATATCAAGCCTTTGCAGTAAGATTAAGAGCCTCAGATAGTCTTTGCAGTCCCACAAGTAGGCGTGATTTTCGTCATCGTGATGCTTTGATGACTCATAATCGCTCTTTATTTAGAATAAATTCTAGTAAATTCTCGTAAATCCACTTAAATTCTCATGAATAATTCATTGCGGGAAAGGTCTATAGCGAGTTTCGTTATACACATAAATGAAATGACTATGTGGGTAACATTTACAGAGTGCTGGAAGGATTTATACAATACTGTTTACAATTTAAATTTAAAATGATTCAAAGGCCTGCACTGGCTGTCGACCTCAAGTTCAATGTCTAAAATGACAGTTTTTGGGGGTGTGTGAGCGTATGAGTTTGGAATGGAATGGGAGATGGACAGTGACATTGCCAAATGCATCTTGTGACATAAGGTGTATTGTGAGTTGGCCACGCCTATGAGGACTGGGGGGTGGCTGCATGCTTTAGTCATGGTGCATCCAATAATAATTATTGTTGTCTGTTGATCAAATATGGAAAAAGAATTTCAGCCAAAGCTTATGAATATCTTTTGCACACAATAGCCTACAATTTTGACTTTGTAAGTATCTCCAACCAGTATGCATTATCTATGCTGTAATATTTTAGCAAATATAAGCCCTTTTCTTGCCATCATAATTGATACTTAGGCTAAGTAAAAGTAAAAAATCAAGTAACATATAGGCCAAATGAATTTGTAGAAGTAGGAAGTTGATCACGTTGATGGATAGGTTAGGCTTGCATACGATGAGGCAACATGTAAAAATGTGCTCACACTGTATTTATCAATGGCTTTGAAACACCCAAGGTTTTATACATTGTTATATGAAGGAATGTTTGAGCTGATTCCAATCAATGAGTGATTAGAACACAATCCCAATAGTCATGACCATCAGCCCAGGCTATTAGCAACAATTAACTCAAGCTAGTTCCAAATCATGTCACATACTATGTCACTAACTGGCAATCACAAAATGCACAGTAGTAGGGCTAGGCTGAAGTATTGCATTTGCCTATAGCTACTTTAAAATATTTCTGACCAGCTATTTATTATGTGCAAAGTACAGGGGCGTAGCTGAGGTAGGGCCTGAGGGGGCCTGGGCCCTACCATCAAAGTGGCCTTATAATTATATTCATTGAAATTATAACCCAAAAGATTATATTCATTGTTCTTACAATAACAAAAGGGGATGGCTGATAACCACAGCTCTTTTTATAGCTATATACAATGATAATTTCACTCTGATTTCGCTCAGTTTGCAGGAAAATGCCTCCATTTTGCTACGTAAAAGGGGTGTGGCCAAGATCGCGGCGAGCGGCGCGCCATTTTATTTCCTTGCCCTACCATCACCCAAGGTCCAGCTACGCCCCTGGCAAAGTAGACTAAAATAGTAGCATTTTGCAGCATCCAGCTAATTTACCTGTATGATAAAACACTAATTTAACCTTTGTTCATCAGCCATCAATACTTGAGTACCACAAGCCCCGACAGTGCTGTATCTTGAAGTTGAACATGCTGCATGGATGTCATTGTAAAAGATCACATTTAATTCTCCAGCACCGCCCAGTTTGGAGGTGTGTCATTGTGTCAGAGTCAAGGGAAAACCCCTACAAAACGAGATCCAAAAAACTGTGATAACCGTGTGATAGTCCTTTCTAACTCCAAAACAAAAGGCGAGACAAAAGGTACAGTCCAATAATTCAACTATCTATGATTCAACAGTACCAGCACCATGGACTTGACTTGGAGTTTCACTCCGCCTAACTAGCTTGCCATGCCCCGATCGTTTGTGTAATAGGGTATAATCTATGGTATAATTAGTCTCGCTAGCCAGACCAGACCATTCCCCAGCCTACACTACAGTCATTGCACCCACCCCAATAACTGTAGGCTGGGGAATGGTCTGGTTAGTGAGACTAGAGTATAGATCTAATAGTAAATGTGTTATTCATGTACATGTATACATAATATTACATATGTGATCGTGACAGTTGACGAACTGCCATGGATAGATGTGCAGAGCTAGCTAAATTTGCCAAAGTGAATTTGTTGAATAAAAATAATAATTAGAAGTTTATGTTGTGCAGAGCTGATTCCGATTGAAATTAGATTTTTTTGAAGGCCATGTAGACTACTATTATAAGGCTTGTCAGCTTATGAAGTATGCTTTATAGCTCACTTAGCATGTTTTTAGGAAATTCAGCTTTTTTGCTAATAATTATACTGACTCATGTTTCACATTTTGTTATTTTATCATAATGATATAATTTGGTCTTCGTTCGTTCTTGAGAAAAATACATGTATTTTCCCAATCAGCTCTCTGCATTTATCATAGTAATCTGCTTTATTGTTAACGAATTAGGAAACTGCAATTAAATTGATATACCGGGCAGGTAATAGAGTATGAATAATAAATTAATAAAATGAATTTTTTGTGGTTATTGCGATGAAGTAATAGGAAAAATGAATAGGAACAGCCGTATCACTGGTCTTAATTTTATTTAAAATAACAATTTTTTAAATGTAGAAAATGATCAAAATGGATACGAGCGATGTAAAACAGCTTCAAATGGTTGAGCTCATGCTACAAGTACATGTACGTATAAATTTCCAGACCACTGCAGTTGAACAGGAAATCAACTTGGATGTCAATGAAAATTGGGACAAGTTGAACCGCTTCTGCAAGGACAGCAATGGCACTCAAGACATCGAACAAACTTACAAAGATGTGCACAGCCAGTATGAAGCTTACACAGAAGATGGAATAGAAGTGTGGGAAATAACGGGAGAGCAAGAGCAGGGAATAGAAGAGGAAGTGGAGGAGATACAAGGAGTGGAGTCAGAATGTCTGGAGGAAGAGACAGGAGAGGATCAGGAAGAGGACTGCAAAATGGAACAGGAAAAACATGAGGATAATGTTGACGATAGTACCAAGGGAGAGAAAGAGCAGCAGAAAGGCAAACCACGAATGGGTACAAAATTAGTCCCTACACGACATCAACATATTGCTTCAAAAACTAACGGTTGTAAAGGTGAATTAAAGAAGTCGTCTAACAAGTATAGCAAACACCAGAAAGTGACTGATGTCTACAGGCCAGATAAAACGATCGCCAATAATTATCATGAATCTTTCTATACAGATTCACATATTGGTGGGTACGAATACAACAGCAAGAGAAGTATTCTCGTCACAGGAATTCCTATTAGAATTCACGATCCCAATTGGCTTTCACAGCTGTTTAAAGAACAGAGCTACTGCCACAAAAAAGAGATGTTCATTGGTACAAGCACACGTCTTGCCTATACTCCGTATAACCCGTGTGTTGAAACCACATCATTGAAACAAGATCCTTCAAGTGATCTTCAGCTTTTACAATTAAGGAAGTATTGAATTTTTTAGAGTATTATTGTCTTACTGTTTTTATTTGTAGTTTTATAATTACATGTAATAAATGCTGCTTGCTTTAGTTGTTAATGACATGTAATAAATCCTGCTTGCTTTAGTTGTTAATGACATGTAATAAATGCTGCTTGCTTTAGTTGTTAATGACATAATAAATGCTGCTTGCTTTAGTTGTTAATGACATAATAAATGCTGCTTGCTTTAGTTGTTTTGATTATACTTGCTAATTTGCTACATTTGTTTATATTTTATTAAAATACATTTTTGTCAAACTTAGTAAATAATAAGTAGGTTATTATACCAGTAGCCAATGACTAGCCATTAAGAATTAAGATGGGACATTTAATGCATAATAATAGAGTACCTCATGACAGGCAGTAGAAATTAAGGAGCAGTACAGCCGAAAACAAACTCAATGCTTATGAACACATGCTATATACTGAACATAGTAGCTGTAATAATAATACATAACCATACTCTAGTCAGAGTAATATACCCCATCAACTTTAGCCATGCCCAATATGAAGTTATGAGTAGGTGATTTAATCAAATGAGTGGGAGGTGCTCAAATTTGATCCCATAATTATAGCATACATATGAGGGAATTGAGGCTCAGTGTAGCATGCAGCTAAAGAAGACAAACATTAAAGCAATATAGGAAATACCTTTATTCTTAAAATAATGACACCGTCAAGCTCCCCCAAAGGATCTCATAGCCAATGCAGCAGAGAAGACATGTCCTATAATAGTAATTGTAAATGTGATACAGCAGATGTAGTCTTATTATCATCACAAATTAAGTATGAATCCCATGTACATGTAATTACTATAGGTTCTGCCTAGAAGAAAGGAGAGGTGGTCAGAGCTATTTTAACAACATACACGTATAATGCTAAATCATTAAAACAGTACATGTGTATATGAATGGTTGGTCTAAGTAATGAACTGGCTATTCATTTGTTGAGGTGGTTGCTACCAACAACCATGGACAATCACAGGCACAACTCTGCCTCTACCAGGTACATCTATCGCACTAAAAATGGTGGAAACTGAAAATAACAAGTACAGGCACACTGTCCTATATAGTCTCGGTACATGTATATACAAAAATGTACTTAATGGTTGGTCTAAGTAATGAACTGGCTATTCATTTGTTGAGGTGGTTGCTACCAACAACCATGGACAATCACAGGCACAACTCTGCCTCTACCAGGTACATCTATCGCACTAAAAATGGTGGAAACTGAAAATAACAAGTACAGGCACACTGTCCTATATAGTCTCGGTACATGTATATACAAAAATGTACTTACAACAGAAAAGCTATGGCATAATTATTTGTATTGGACACAGTAATTTCATTACTGGTAACTGAGATTCTACACGTATGACACTAACAAATCACTTACATGTACATTGTACATGTACTGGTCCTCAAACATTAAAATTAGTGAGCACAATGTGTGTACTTTAACTTACACAAAATCTTGCTCCTACTTTAGGAGCACCAAAAACAATTCTTTCTAAAGAGAAGTAAAAGATATCAATGCACAGTACAATAAACTATAGCTTACCCTCATTCAGTCTACCAGATGAGGTCACAAAACAGTACCATGCACCAGGCACATCTAATACTAATAATTCTTTGAGATTGAATATGAGCATTGAGTTGCCAGCACAAAAAGCCAAAATTGGAGCTCTGATTGAGACTGCCATTGGCTTGCAGATAAAAGAAAGACACTATTATACTCCATATCTCTCCTCAGTTCTTCCTGTCTCTCCTCTTCTCAATTTATACCAGACTACTTACATATATACAAGCAGAGCAGTTTATCACAATAAATACCACCATACTGTTCCAGAAGCATCTATCAGAAAGAAAAGGCTACATGTACTTATTACACAACTTATATAACACAGCATGCAGTCTGTAATATACGCAACAGCACAGTTGCTGAGTAGTGGTCATGTGATTGTTGCATGATTTTAGCATAACTATTGGCATACAAGTACATTTTAATTTAATAGGGTCAAATAATAAAATTAGCCTTAAAAATGAATAGTAGCAAGCTATACAAATAGCATAATTTTAGACACATCGACAAAAACATTTGCAATTAAAGCATGCAATATTACTTGGTCAGTAATAACAAAATTCTTTCCACAATTGAGCACACTGAAAAAATGAATGAGCAACAGACAGACAGACAATAGTCCTTGGATGGGTGGATCCAATGATTTTCAATGCAATTACATGTATATGTATGGTTTAATACATCTAAAATGTATTACCTGTTTGTAGCTATCCCTGCAGATCTTATATCTCCTTGGCATACATTGGTATCTAGTGTAATAGTCAGTGATCATCGATATTTCCTAAGTATTCATAAAGAAATATGTCAATGTTACCTGCCTGGTAAGAAGCATGAACATGAAAAAAATAGATTTTATTGCTCAGCTGGAAGGAAGGTATCTGTTTCATAATCATAATGCAAGTAGGTGTATGTGTGCTGCTAACAAGTTGTTACAGTATGTGGGAAGAAAACAAAAAATTCCTTGTACACTACCAAGTACCAACATTGATCTAAAAGTTAAAGCATTAAGATTTAATGAATATTAAATAAGAAATCAAGGACTGAGCAATGCTATATATCATAAAGACAAATTTACAATTATTAGGCTAAGCCAGTGTAATGTATTAATTAAAAGCATCAATAATTTGACCTTCGACATATGCTTTATTTATACAGTACCACTCAGAAGTTTACATGTAGATCTACAAGGCTAGCGTGCATAAACTAACAGATTTGAACCAAATTTAAGTCCAGCATCAACACAATGTTGGTCCTAGTGTATTATAAATCCGCCTTTAGACTTAACATAACACTTAATGCTTAGACATAACTATAATTAAAAAATCATAAAAACGGTCACCATCTTAAAAAATCCACCTCGATCCTACATATAGGCTACTGCCTATACAATACACACATTGACTATAGTACATTTAAGAAAAGTTGTGCCATGCTATGATCTTACAAGTGTGTGTAATGATGATCATAAATAAAACTAAAATTTTTACCATAATGTCTGTCAATTTCACAGATGCAAAATTTAAATTTCACAATAAAGCTAAATCTTTTTGGTCAAATTTTATAGTTGCCACAATGTCACAATAAAACAACCAATACAAGGCTGAAGTATGCCATGCATAAAGTGTAAAGCTATACAAGACTGAACTAAGACATGTACATACATATTTCAGATACAGTGCATCCAGAGGGAGCTCAAAGGCCACAAGTCTCAACAAATAAGACTGATGATGCCAGCTTTTAGTTACACAATCGATAAGTGACACTTGGCCTGTAGTAGTGGTTACACCATCAATGAATCAAACTCACCTTGAAGATAGACACAAGAATTTAGATGTTAGTAAAAATGAAGAAAACAGATCAGTGATGGAAGTACAGTATGTAGAACTGTCAACCATTCCAGCTGCTCCCAGAATACAATGAGTCTATTGATGATGATATGCCTCATACACAATCTTAGTCTGTCTTGTCTCTATTGCTGATGTAAGAAGTTGATTCTAAATGAGTCTAGAACCTTCTACAGACTATCATGTTTAGTCAGTAAATTCATGTATTAGTAACGCGGTAGCGTTACTAAGTAGGATTCACCCCAAAACAATATGGCTGCCACGACTTTTGCAGCCTTGCTATACTGGGAAAACGAGCTCCTATGCTTACCAGACTTCTTAGAGGACCTTATCTTGACCAGAGGACTCCATTGGTACCACTAGCGTGCCTCTAAACCTTGTCTATAAAAAGTCTAAAATCGGCAAAACGGGGCCGTTTTGTTCAGCCACTTTTTTTCATCTTAGTCATCTTCTCCTCACAATCCAGTTATCCGTTTGTATCTCAATCTTGGCTGGTAGTAAAATGCTAATTTTTACACCATTCTACTCCAACAGTCTATGCGCAGGTCCATGTCCCATCAGATCATTCTCCAAGAGTGGCAGAAGTGATACTATGGTCTGCTGGGTTAGTCCATTTACCTCATGCCGCCATTTTGTTAATCAAAGAAGCATGTGCTCCAAAATTTGGGCGTGGTCGCGCATGCTCAGTAGATGCAGACCTCAGAACTGGGAACAGCAAGCAATTTTTTTAACTTAGCTATAGGCTAGCTATGCTTGGAATCATTTGCCATACTTAGTGGAGGTTTTCAGCTAAG